TTTAATAATTTTTTATAGAGTTTATACATAATTATACTAATACGTAAAATGTATGTCCAAAATACGTCAACAATATTCACTTACCACTTACTATATTAAGAGAAAACTTCTCTCTTCTATATTAAGAAATACCAGGTTTGTTTTTCATTTATACTTACATAAACATTAAGAACTTCATCCTCAACTTTAACTAAACACTTGTCAAATCCTCATTACAATAACTTGAGATTAAAGTATATAAAAAGGTTGAAAGGTTTGTTCACTTAAGTAAATCTATCAATCTAACTAGACTTATTAATAATTATACTCTTTCTATATTATAATATGCTATATATATATATATATATATATATATATATATATATATATATATTATAATGGTCGATTTATAAGGTATAATATGTGTGTCCCTTGCTTCCACTCTTAACTAAGTGCTATAAAGATGATTCTTCTTACCATAAATTAAAGGCTATCTGATCTTGGAGAATTAATATATATTTTGATATTAGAAAAGCTTTTTTGTCAAAATATTGAAAGCTTCTTTTCGTGTGTAAAATGAGTGGATTGTTAGTAGAAAAAGCTTACATCACATACTTAGTGTTTGTCTTAATCATGATTATCTCTCTCCTTCAGCAGTTAAATATATGAAAGGGACGTAATCTGAATTTGACACTACCGACCTGACCATAGTCGTGAAAAAGAAGAAGAATCTTGTGTTTTGATTTCTCGTTGATTGAATTTCTTTGTCCAAAAGTTTTTAGACTTATTTGATAATACATAAGAGAGTACTCGAATTCAATAATTTATAAAAGACAGTCATTAATTAGATTTTACTTACTTCTCGACTAAACCATACTTATCAGTAGGTGAGAATTTTTCAGCCTTATGACTTCTCAAGTACATCAAGTTAATGGAATTTTATTGTACCAAAGAAAAATATTCTTTTAATAATTTTTTTTTGACAATTTTTTACAACAGTAACTTACGTAATAACTAGTGATTAGTTTATTTTAAATATACAGATCAATAAATTAACGATACATAGTCTATTGTCAAAAATTATTAAGAAAAATTATTAATCTATCATAATTCTTATAAAAAATGTTATCAAAATATAAAAAAAAAATAACTTATTTGATTAGAAAGATAACATACATTCATGTATGATGTATGATGAAAGATAATGCATGAAACAATTATACTTAATTAACAAAATAGGTTTACATAGTTTGATATGGTTAGTTAAAGAGTTTTTGTTTTCTAGTTAATTCGTTCTAAATTGCTTTATAATTAAAATAAAAATATTATTTTATATATGTTGGTCACATTTAGAATAAAAAATAGAATAGCTGTGTATCACTTTTCTTTCTCTAAGAAAAGGAAGAGAATTTTAGATACGTAGAAATTCATTTTAGTGTTGTGCTGACAGTATTTCAACTATTCATTTTCATAAAAAGCTATATGCAATTGTTTAAAATTTTAAACAAAGTACGATGATGACGTCATCGAAAAAGCTACTTTGTCTCCTTACCTGTTCGACTTTTGCACCCCCACCATGTACGTGTGTTTTTCCTTCATAAAGCAAGAACTAAGTTGCTTCTTTTAATCTTTTTCTTTTTTTGTTTTCTAAAAAAACAGGTCTCAACAAAAAGATTATGGGGAATAATAGACCATTTTCAGTGCTTCAGAATAGAAGGAAAAAACATGGCAAAAAGATAGATATAACACATTCTACGACTAAAAACAGAGAGGTACAAAGAAATCTGCATCTCTTAACCCATTTTATCATCTGTGGCTAACAAAGTATTTTGTCTAGGGTGAGAAAGGAAAAGGTAAAATTTATATACCAGAAAAAGAAAAGCATTTCTTATTCATTTTATAAACTCTTATATTCCTATGGCTCAACTTCAACTGTTACCATATCTTCAACTCAACAATAAATACCTCACAAATCCCTCAGTCAGAACCAACACAACCAAAACAGAGCAATGAAGACGCAAATTCTCAAGTCTCTGCAAACCATTATTCTTCTGCTGCTGCTGACAGCGTTCTTTAGCAGCACCAACACCAAAGCAGAAGAAAAGCAAACACACCGCCAAACCAAAAAGACCTACATAATCCACATGGACAAGTCCACCATGCCCGCGACTTTCTCCGACCACCTCAACTGGTTCGACTCCTCCCTCAAATCAGCATCAGCCACCGCAGAGATCCTCTACACCTACAAACACGTGGTTCACGGCTTCTCCACCAGGCTCACACCCCAAGAAGCAGAAACACTCGCGAACCAACCAGGAATTCTCTCAGTGACCCCAGAACTTCGATACAAGCTCCACACCACAAGAACACCGCAGTTCCTCGGACTCGACAAAAGCACCACGCTCTTACCCGCGTCCCAGCAACAGAGCCAGGTCATCATCGGAGTCCTTGACACCGGCGTCTGGCCCGAGCTGAAGAGCCTCGATGACACGGGCCTGGGCCCGGTACCCGCCACGTGGAAAGGCGAGTGCGAAGTTGGCAGCAACATGAACTCCTCACACTGCAACAGAAAACTAGTGGGTGCGAGGTTTTTCTCCAAAGGCTACGAATCCGCTCTTGGACCTGTTGACCTAAGTACAGAGTCAAAGTCAGCGAGAGACGACGAGGGGCATGGGAGTCACACGCTCACCACGGCAGCAGGCTCGGTGGTTCCCGAAGCTAGCTTCTTCGGTTTGGCGTCAGGCACGGCTCGTGGAATGGCGCCGCAAGCGCGCGTGGCGGTTTACAAAGTGTGCTGGCTTGGTGGGTGTTTTTCTTCCGACATAGCCGCGGGGATCGACAAGGCCATAGAAGACGGCGTGAACGTTTTATCCATGTCGATTGGGGGAAGCTTATTGGAGTATTACAGAGACATTATCGCGATTGGTACCTTCTCTGCCACGTCACACGGGATTTTAGTTTCCATGTCAGCAGGGAACGGTGGGCCCAGTTCGTCAACTCTATCCAACGTGGCGCCGTGGATAACCACGGTGGGAGCGGGAACTTTAGACCGCGATTTCCCTGCTTACATAACGCTCGGAAACGGAAAAACATACACCGGAGCCTCGCTTTATAGCGGTAAACCCTTGCCGGATTCTCCGCTTCCTCTCGTTTACGCTGGCAACGCGAGTAACTCTTCTGTTGGGTATCTTTGCTTGCAAGATTCTCTCATTCCTGAGAAGGTTTCAGGGAAGATTGTGATATGCGAGAGAGGGGGAAATCCCAGAGTGGAAAAGGGTTTGGTGGTGAAGCTAGCGGGAGGTGCTGGAATGATTTTGGCCAACAATGAAGCTTACGGGGAAGAGTTAGTTGCTGACCCTCATCTTCTTCCTGCTGCATCGCTGGGCCAAAAATCAAGTCAAATTCTTAAGAGTTACGTTTCTTCTTCCGTAAATCCCACCGCTAAGATTGCTTTCGTAGGAACCCATTTGGAGGTTCAACCTTCCCCGGTTGTGGCGGCTTTCAGCTCCAGAGGACCCAACGCTCTCACGCCCAAGATTCTCAAACCGGATTTAATAGCTCCAGGGGTCAACATTTTAGCCGGTTGGACCGGCGCGGTTGGACCGACCGGGTTGACCGCTGACGATCGCCATGTCAGCTTCAACATAATTTCCGGAACCTCCATGTCTTGCCCTCACGTCAGTGGCTTGGCCGCGATTGTCAAAGGCGCGCACCCTCAATGGAGCCCTGCGGCTATTAGATCCGCACTCATGACAACAGCCTACACGAGTTACAAAAACGGCGCCGCAATTGAAGATGTTGCGACTGGGCAACCTGCAACGCCGTTCGATTATGGCGCGGGACACGTGAATCCCGTGGCTGCCCTTGATCCTGGTCTGGTGTATGATGCCGACGTGGAAGACTACTTGGGATTCTTCTGCGCGCTAAACTACACATCGTTTCAAATCAAGCTTGCTGCGAGGAGGGACTTTACTTGTGACCCGAAGAGGGAATACAGAGTGGAGGATTTCAACTATCCTTCGTTTGCAGTTGCTTTGGAGACAGCTTCGGGGATTGGGGGTGGTTCGGATGCTCCCCATACTGTGAAGTACTCTAGGGTTTTGACTAACGTCGGAGCTCCGGGAACGTATAAAGCTTCGGTGGTGCCGTTGGGGGATTCGAATGTGAAGATTGTGGTGGAACCGGGGACGCTGAGTTTCGCGCAGGAGTACGAGAAGAAGAGCTATACGGTGTCGTTTACATACACCTCCAAGCCCTCCGGGACCAGTAGCTTTGCGCGTTTGGAATGGACGGATGGAAAACATAGGGTTGCAAGCCCAATTGCGTTCAGCTGGACATGATTTGATAAGGGCCTGCCGAAATTGTGTGGCCCAAAAGGCCTCGTTTAATATATTTAGCACATGGAATAATAATAATTATAACGACAACAATAATTGTACATAAAAAAGTATTGGCGCATCTGCATGTATCATTATGGATTACTGGCTCTATCAATTATTCATATCTTATCTTTCCACTTTACCTTTTTCTATTATGTTTCATAGAGATGAAAATTGAATAAAAATAACTTCAAATTTTAATTTCTCAATTCATATTTACTTTCTAAATTATGTACCGTAAAACTAAAAAAAATGTACTATTATTATTTATATATATGAAAAAATATATTTATATCACCTCGAAAAAGGTTCCGCATGTCTAATTTGTACGCACACTAGCCACACTTCATTTTGTGCGTCTGTCAATTCTTTGTTACTGTACAGAAAAGTGATATAATATTAAATTTGCCACGCATTTATTAATTCGATAATGTATATTATTTGAATTAGGTAGTAAAATAACAGTGTACATAGTAATTCATAAAAGAAAGACGTAAAAGTTAATTATTTCACTCATTTGTTTGGTGGCAATAAAAAGAACGCGAAGCGAAGCAGGATGAAGCAGTACATTATTGACCACAAACGTTGGAAAAACATTACGACCATTATCACGCGTTACATATCCGCATCCAAAAAATAAAATAAATAAAAATTGGCGAAAAAAACATTTAACGAAGGTCACGAGAACAACCTTAGTCCTAACCTATTAATTACGTTTTGGATACGCTTCATTCTCGTCCAGCTAACGAATAATCAGAACCGTTCTCACGGATCCCTCGTTCTTCGCTTCTCCTTTCTTTACTGCGTTTAATTTAACGAATACCCGCATAGACCAATTTTATTAGTTTATCACTGCAGCAGAGGTTTCATCGCCTAGGGTTTTATACACTGAATTCATTGTTTTTTCCCAAAAAAATTTTCAATTATTATTCGGAATTTTTGGTAAACTAAAATTATTCATGGCGTCGAGTTTTGACCGGTGGGAAAAGGATCCTTTCTTTAACGCCGCCGAAGAAGTTCAAGAATCTGCAGACAGGTATGTCCATTTACATGAGTTTTGTTCGATTTTTGTTCCAATTAGTTTTGTGCTTTTATTTAATTTATAATTTATTTTCTGCTGAAGAGGAATATACTGATTTAGGTCTGGAAGTACAACTTGACTTAATTTGTGCCTTTTTCTACTCTACTGAATTCGAAGAGTTGGGAAGCTTGATTACTGAAATTTCTAGGTTTATCTGTGTGCACAATCATGTAATTTCTTCTTGTTGATTTGTTATCTTTGTGTTTTTGAAGGATGGAATCTACTTATAGGATATGGTTACACGCGACAAAAGATGCGTCCAGCATGTGGAACTCTGATGAAGTGTGTAGAGATCTATATATTGCGCTTGGCACTGCCAAATGGCAGGTAATTCCTACTCACGGTAAATGTCTACTAGAATAGCTAGTTCATTTGAAGTATTTTGTTGTTGAAGTGGAGATATGATTGTATGTTTGTTGGAAAATGCAGTTAGAGGAATTTGGGCGGGCAGTGATGCCAAGTTATGGCAAAATTTCAAGTGATGAAGCGAGAAGTAGGCACCAACAATTTATCACTGCCATTGAGGATAAGATAATGAAAGTTGAGCATTCGATAAGTGAATCGGTAGGCAAGGCATCTCTGCCTTGGTTTCGTTTAGACGAAGGAGAACAGGATGAGCTTGCTTTGTTTCTTTCGGGAAAACCAGAAAGTAACAGCAGGGACATTGAAGATCCACCAGTGACTAATTGTTCGAAGGATTTTCATGTTTCATATGGATGGGGTGAACCAAAGGGGGAGATATCACGTGGGCATCGCAGGGTGGCCAGTGCTAGTGCTGATATTGGATTTTGGAAAGTTTCAGTTCATGATGATGCACAGCAGTGGAGTTCATCAAGTGGTTCTTCTGGTCCAATGCATAATAAGGCACCCAGTTTATCAGGATTTCTTAGTTCAATGGAATCAGTCTCTAAGTTGAAGTGGTCTAGGAATGCTTATAAAAAGCTGAAAGCAGTGAATCCTCATACAGAAACTGATAGCACACTACTTCCAACTTCTGAATTCAATAGGGTATGTAATCTGCAGTTGTTGTCTCTCATAATGATAACTTGCTTGAGTGATTTTTTATACATTTGTTGAATTACTGATATGTAATATATTTTTCTTTTACTGAAAACAGGGCAACAGTGCAAGCTGTGAAAGTAAGAGTGGCCTTGATAGTTGTGATGAATGCTATGACAAACAACTCCATGGATGGTATGGTGCTATTCGGAGAAAGCTTCAAAGATCTCAATACCAAATTCAATACAGGCAGCCTGTTCGAATAGCTGTTTGGATTTTTGTTCTCCTTTGTTTTATAGGTGAGTTGTTGGTATGATTGTCGTTTGCTATATAATAATTATATGCAGATGCATGCAGTGGAATTTCTTATTAAAAACTTACCACTTTGGTAATTGAGGAATTTTACCTTATTATTCTTTCTATTCTTACTCATACTATTTGTTGAATGATTGTATGGCCTTCTTGCTAACGATTTGCTCATCCTTATCTTCATTCTAAATCTGTTGTGTATGGACCTTTGCTTTCATTTATTACTTCTTTTTTCTTTGAAAAGTCACTCTGTTGCTATCTCTTCATGTTTTTCTGTTCATTTTTTTTTCATTAGTTTGTAAGCTGACATCTTGATATCTTGGTTACTGTTTGAATTTTTGTCTGTCCACACTATGCATTACAGCACATGCTTGCATTTATGTTGGTTGTGTTTACCTACTGATTTTCATTTTTTCACTACGCATTATGTCATCGTGGCTTACACTTATTACTGGTATCCTGCAGCATTAATTGCATTCCACACATTGTAGAAGGAAGATATCAGTGCACAATAAAAAAATGTGTAGCTGCAGACATCACGGGGTATATAGACAAGCTTTTGATGCAAAAGTTCATATAGTCCCACTTTGACACTTGAGCTGGAGATATAGGTTAGATTTTGTGGTTCTGAGTTAAGTTTTGGAATTACAAGTAGAGTCTAGTATAGTTCATGGAAACTCCACAATTTTTTGTTATTCTGCTATTCAATCTGTTCTTCCCTTCTCTTTTCTTAATAGTCCCTGAAGAGCTCTCTGATAAAGGAACTGATAGACATTTCTTGGAACATTAAAATACAATAATTTTTTTTGTGTTTTTTTTATTTTAGTACAATTGACATTAATTACGCTTATTTGACATTTTTTTATTTTCACTCTTCCTATGAAGAAAATGCTGTCACATGAATGTAACTCGTATTACACACCTGTGCTCTAGTTCATTTTTATGTCTTTTATTGTTTGAAAGCATTGAGTTTTGTTGAATTTTTTCCTTCAGTAAATTCTTTCACATCTTTATTACTAGCACTAGGTCCACGTGCATTTTATTTTCTCATTTAGACCTTTTCATTATAGATGCAGTTTAATTAATTTTTTTTGAAAAAATATAAATTTTTATTTATAAAAAATAAAAACGTTATTTAAAATTATAGAAATTTTGTTTAGAAAAAAAATTATTTAGAAAAAAGAATATAAAGTAGAAAACTAAATATCTAAATGTTAAGAAATATCTAAATTAAAAAAATATAGCAATTTAAGCTATTTGAAATAAATTTGATTATTTTCATTGTATTTAAAGATCTAAATGTAAAGAAATATTTTTAAGGATTTAGTGTTTTTATATTTCATTATTTAAATGTGAGGATATTATTTTTTTAATTTTTTTCTGTAGATTTTTTAGTTTCTTTTTTACATGGAACATTTAGAGTTCTTTTTAGCACATTTTGCACAGTATTTACGGGAATTGCATTTTGCACAGTATTTAGGTAATGATGTTGACACCTATCAATAAAAAAACACTCATTTAATAACAAAATAATAATATTTTAATTTTACTTACTTTATTTTTTTAATTTTATATTTTACATTTAAATTAGTATATTATTAAATTGAATTATAGGATGGGTGTAATTTTTTTAAGAGTCAAAGTATTATTTTTTTTCTCTTTTCTTATTAATTATGTCAAAGTGTTAATATTTATCATGTTCGCTCATTTTCTTATATCTATATCATTTAGATTCCATTTTCTCTCATTTATAGCTCTCCTACGTTTTCATTGTATATTGTTTTTATTTCTTTCTTTCCATTTCTCCACCTCAAAATGGGGTGAATGATATCTACAGTTTTTATCATAGTTGACACTTAAAAAGAAAAATATTAATATAATAAGTTAGAAGACAAATAAAAAGAAAAATAGATATTAAGATTTATAGCAATAAAGTTTTACTATTATTAGTAGCGTGTCCCTCTTCTTTCTTTGATGATTGCCTTTAATGGAAACTAAAGTTCTCTGAACCATTATTAAAGTCCGAACTTGATGTCTGTAATTTCAACGCATGTGGTACGGCCCAAAAAATCTAATAGTGGAAAAGAGAAACTGAATTACTCAAAGGAAATAATCACGTTCAAGAAACCCGTTTCACTTTTTATGTCACGTTCTATTCTCCTCCAAATTTATTATATATTTCGTGAGATTTCAAATTGATCTTCAAGAAATTTGAAATTCAAACACTACCAACTACTGAAAAAAAAATCTGTCAAAAGAAACTGAAAAGAAAACAGAAAGCAGTCCTCCAAAACAGGCATTTTTATTCTCTAAACTAAACTCGTCAATAAACCAAATAATGAACACTTTTTGGATATAAAAGTACACATTTTACCAAGCTAGGTTTTTTCAGGTCTGCTAACTGAAACATAAATTTTCACCTAATGTATACAAAAATAGCTTAATACTTATAACCTTTTGGAAGGCTCAGGCTATATAATCCAAGAAAGGGATGGAAAAGGAAGGAAAGTAAATGCACTACTCTTTTTTGCTTTGAGTAATGGACTTTCTACTTTTTTTTCCATTATAAAGTTAAGGAGAATCTTCTCACTGCACTTTGTCAGCCTCAAATTCTTTTGAGGGATAAAAAAGGTAACAAAAATAATGTTAACACTTCATGACTCAGAAAATCATATAAATGTTGAACTTTATAACCGATGCAAAGTAAAAACAAAATGACAAATTAAAAAGATTATCAAAGTAAACAGCTTTAAGTAAATTTAATTAGATTATTTTATAACAAACCGAAAAGTTTGATTCAACTTGTGCTTGAACCAAATCACAAAAAATATCATAGTACAGAGTAACACAGGTTCTTATTTCTTTAGTCTTTTGCCTTAATTGTTTTCAAATCCATAGCAATGGTTACTTATTTATCATTTGATTTCGATTTTCATAAATGTATGCGGTGCAACATATACTATATAATATTAACTTAAAAGTCTCATTAGAATGAAGATCAAGTTTATCACATGATTACCAAATGAAAGTAATGTTTATATTGGTCTAAGATTACTTTGAAAAAAACATAACACTTAACACCCATATATGAAACTTAGAATCTGATGAGAGGGAATTTAATAAAAAGTTAAGGCATTAAATCATGTCAAATTGTCGTTTTATCTGAACTACAAATTTACTCTGACTTCATAGCTGAAAGAAAATTCCTAAACACTCCTTCATTATCAAGGATGGCACTAAAAAACTGGTGAGTCATAATAAATTTCAACTGATAAGGAAAAGGTATGCTCAAGAATACAAGTTTTCCAAAAAAGATTCGATTAGAATAAATCACATATACCAACCAAAAATTATCTCCAAACGTGAAGATCCTGAAAGCGAAGCGATATGTTGACATCTCAACCATAACCAAGGCATTAATGATGAACACTATACCATAATATATGAGAAAACATAATCCATGGAGAAGATAAATATAAAGGAAAAGTTCTGATAATAAAGGAAATCTTGACATATTTCTAAGTTACAATTAAATATTGATACAAGCTTTGTCAATATATATGTCCTTTAAAAGCATAAAAATTTAGATCTATGATAGTTTAGCTTCTACTTACTCTGGCTACTAGGTTTACAATTCATAATAACAACCAGCACTAAACATATTTAAAGTTCTTCAATGATATATAGTTTCCTCCAAAGACGGAAGAAATTTCCTTACGGATGTCACCAGCAATATCGATATTAAACCTCAAAGTGCTGGCCCTTGAAACACAAGGCCAAAACTTTTTCAGTGACGAAATCAAGGTTATAACTGTGATTTCCAAGCATCATGGTTAATGCTTTCACAGGAAAAAAAAACTCTACAGGAATTATAAAGCTTATAAAATGATCAGCAGATTCCCAATTTCACGCTGATGGAAAGCAAGTGGGCAAAACAAACCTTGATGCACATAATCATCCACCAAAAACTCAGTATAGAAATTCACTTTCCAGGATCCACGACTGATCATTTCTATTTACAAATTTGATGAGGCAATGACCCACAGCAGAAAACTCTTGACAACCCTGCTGCAATCTTACCATTTACCTGCAGTAATTTGTCAGATAGTTCACAAAAAGTTAAAAAAACTAGACGCCTAGGCTAGTCCAGAACTTCCTCTTAGCTAAACATCCACTGTCCAGTTAATGTTATTAGTGTTTCCTTCATGCGATTTTTGTAGTTGAGCAACTTTGGCATGGTATGCAGCTGCTGCCACGGCATTCTTCACCCTCTGACCTTGAGGAAGCTCACAGGCTTCACTCATGGAAGCAAACCTTAGCTCAGATGGAGGAATGAAACAGTCCAAGGAGAGGCCAGGAACATTGAACGCAACCTCCTCAATCGTCCAAGCTTCTTCCATCCTGGTTTTAGTGTGGCTCATAGCAGTTTCCCCAAACCTGAAAAGCGTCACTACAGAACGACCCGAGTGAGCAATCATGATCCCCTCAACAGGCCTGTAATCATCAAGAAAGGAATTTATTGTGGTCTCCCAATACACTGCATCACCACCGTTATTCTGAATGCGGGTCAAATGGGAGTCCTCCAAGTGTACGAGAAGCCCCGTTTTCTGGCTAAAGTACCCAAACAAAACATGCCTTATGATCTCCGCTGGACCCTCACTCCTGGCTTTTAATGTTGAGGGGTCTGCACAGAGCTTCAGGATGAAACAGTCCTCTTCATTTATCTTCTTCTCCCCAATGCATCTAGCATTGATAAACATGCTTGCAGTCGTTCGAGGGTCAAGGCCCTGCAGACAGAAAAAGTAGTCAGAAATGTAAACCACCTAGGCCCCGCTAGATAAATTTTTCCATAAACACCTATAAAAAAAGAAAATAACGTAAAATGATTTTACTTTCTCTGATAAATCAAAATCAACTTATGCAGTTAAAATTTTGAAGAAGTTGGATGAGAGAACTTTCATAAAATCTGGTCTACATATCATTTTAGCTTATGGAAGAAACTCGATTCATTTTTCCTTCTTATGTTCTTCTCCTACAAGTAACTAAATATAAATTTAACTAAGCAGTACCCTGAAACAGTACGGTTACAGCCTAACCTGAAGGGCGCGTCGCAAAGGCCGAACTGGCCCTTTGGCAGCGTGTGCACCGAGCCAGGGCGTGTGCCGCCACACTAGTCTCCCATTGCAACCGGCATGAACCTTGCTGCCACCAAGAGCAAGCTCAACATACCACATGTCGGGGTTCATCTGCCACAAGACAAACCCACCGGACTCGGCAGCCTTGGAGGAGTTCCGGCTGCGCGTGACCTTGTTCGCTGTCTCAAACTCAGAGGCTATCATCCTCACCTTCCCCATGGCATAAGCATTGTTAATCGAATTCTGAAGCTTCTGCCCCCCAGAAGCAGCAATGTACTGCTGCAATATGTACTGAGCAGACGAAGTTTCCTGCAACAAAACCACCTTATCTTAAGGAACTACCACAAGACAAGATCAACAGTTATATTATCCCCTTCACTGTATACACACATTTTCCATTCAATTTTCCAAATGTGACCTAACAGAATGCTTAACATGGTAAAACATTTACTGATCTTAGACAACTGAACAAAGAATTGACAAAAAATTAAGGTTATGGAAGCAAGTCATAAACCTAAGGCCATTTGATCTGGGAATATAACAAAAAGAGAGAAGTTAAACAGAGTGAAAAGAGTTACTAACAATGGGGATGT